GGTTGAGACATAAGATTATTATTCAGGGGCCGTGCTGAAAATGATTGATATTATGTCATTGTTAGACTAACTATACAACCCGTGTATGTGTTTGAACAAAACAGTTGCCCCACTTGTCCATAGGAATGGCCCCCCTTCTAACAGTGATATTTCTTGGCTTAAATTTCTTTTTTTGAAACTCAATACGAACACCAATGTATATATTATACACTCACCCCCGTAATAACTGCACACCTTATCCCACATCACTTATTACTGAAAGTGTATATATATGGTCGATCTTAAATATGAGCACTCATGTAAGTCTAAGATAAATTAACCTAGAAGGACAACTCCCACGCGAAAAAGATTAAAAATAAATTACGTACACCGATCGAGTTCTCTCCTTTTCCTTTATAGTGAAAATAGATTACATATCGATCTTTGGCTTGTATCAATAGACACAATGTATTGATCTCTTTCTTGGCTTAAAATTAATCTTGATTATTGCAATGCGTGCATCCATGCACGTACGTGCAGTGTGAGTTTACCTGAACCACAAAATTAATCAAATGCATGCGAGAAAAAAATTACAACTCTACTGAAAAGGATTTCTTCATCTTCATCAGGGTTGATCAATCTGTGCGTGCGCGTATATCTTCTTGCTTTGAATCTGAACTGTTCAAAGAAGAACACTGTTCATCCAACCCCAATTAATTAATTAATTAGTGCCATCTCCACTCAAATCATTTCAACCAATTTGACCAGCGCCCTCTCTGAATTCGGCGCCACGGTTCCATCAGTCATACGGCGACATGCAATATAATCAACGTCCAAATTATAATCCGATGCTAATTCTGAACCGTGCTAATTGCGTGGTGCTTAATTAATCAATCATTCTCTGCAGCAATAATAATTTAGTAGTTTATCCAGACAGTTGCGTTTAGATGCTGTCACTACGCGGAAATTCAGACAAACTAAACCAGATTAGAAAATTTTGCTTGGCAATTGGTTGACTGGCTTGGCTGGCTGACAATCGTGCAGTTCACGCAGCGGGAGACGCGAGATGATGAAGGGATTAGAGATGAGATTACAATAATTAATTAAGGGAGGGATTGGTGATTAATTAAGATATTTGCATAGATTAAGGGGGGTGAAAGTGGCCGGCCAACTGATCTTAGGCCGTACTCTAGTCGTCCCCAATTTCGTACTCCTCTTTGTCTGCTGCATCACCAATAAATTACTTCTTTCTTGCATCCGGGTCCATCTAGCTAATTAGTTGAATTATTTACCATGTATATATCATGTGTGCACGTACAATAATTGATTTGGCCATTAATTATGTATACTTGGCACTTGAAAGCATATTTTTCTCATATATGTACATATTGTAAGCTGTTTATGTTTGTCCCAAGTTAAATTTATTAAAGTTTAACTAAGTTTATAAATGAATTAACAATATTTTCAACACAAACAAATAGTTGTACTCCTTAATTTAAAGGAAGATATATGGTGATGCCACCCCACCTACTTTCATTGTAATTTTTTTAAATTACTACTCAAACTTCTTAATATTGAGAAATAATCGGATAGGCACATATAAAATTGAATTATGGTAAGAACATACCCTATAGAAAAATGATGTGTAACACATAATATTATAATAAAATTTCTTTTATCCGTATTAAGCACATGCATTCAGCTAGTGCTATAAAATATATTAATATTCAAAAGTAAATTACATTTTGCACTAGGTAGGTTGCACAGGGCCGGTTTATCATGTACTTTGTTCACATTACACCATGGTGCATTGAAAAGATTTCACTTTAATACACTATCAAAACTATGAAAATTTCAAGAAATCTGAATGAACTTTCGTAAAACATGGTCTAAATTCGAAAGATTTTGTAAGCTCCACTTAGATATTTTATAAGATTTTCTTTCAATTGTATGACACCACCTATAGTGCAAAGTGAAACTTAATTATTTACACTTGTGTAAAGTAAAAGTATGTAGTAAACCTAGTGTTAAATGAAACATGATACAATTTCCTTGGTGCAAAATACAATTTAGATTTAACGAAACTAATCTGGTGTTATAGATATTATTATGTTTTCTATAAATTTAGACAAATCTAAAAAAAAAGGTTGTCTTAGAACAGGCTAAATTAAACACAATGGAACAATTCAAAAGCGTATATTCGCGGGAGTAACACGGTGTGCGGTGATATGAGTGTTACATTTCTTAATTATGTACCGCATTCTACACGATGGATTAGAAAATGCTTCACATATTTGAATCCGGATTTAGTATATAATGTTGCTATCCACAAAGGGATACGTGTATGCAGAAGCATAACTCTGGTAGTACATAAAAGAATACCAGCGAATTGAATAGTGAAAAAAAAAGAGAGATGAAGTGGTCGGTATGTCCGTTTAGTTCATCTAATAATCCTGCAAGTAATTATAGAGTCAATGGGTCATTAGTACTACGGAACCGTACTTATTATAAACTTAATTATCCGGCCGTACATTGCTAATCTCATCGATACATCTGGCCACTTATCCGTTGATGCATGATGATTAGTCAACACAGCAGGAGTATTGTGTACACGATTTGGTAAGACGATTATTAATTGGGATGTGGGCTGTGGCCAAGTTCACACGTACGTATTAGTATTTTTAAGTTAATAAAATTGCGTAAAACACTCCTAGAATTGCATCTTATCTCCTTAAATTAGATATCTACTCCACTCGATATCGATAGCAAAAGAATACCTTTTTGGACTTTAAAAAGTTAACAAAACAAAACTAAAACCACTTATTCTTTACATAGATTGAAAAACAATCACCCCCACCATTTTTTCACAAACATGTAAAAGGACTGCACGCTAATATATTAGAAGAAAGCAGGGTTTTGGTTACAGCTAAAGATCAGCCATTGCCAAGGAATAAGGAAGAAAAAAAAAGGGAAAGAAACTGACCATGCAAAGGCAAATAATCTTGGTATGCTACTGACCACATGGTGGAGCTTATGGTTGGAAAGAAACATAAGAATTTTTCGTGCAAAAAGTTGGAACAAGATCGAGGTTGAGCAGCTCATTTTAAACCGCCCTGAAGGGTGTCCCTTTTTTCTTTTTAACTAAGTGGACTTGTGATTATCCTCTAATCCCCTTGAGCCTCTAAACTTCTTTCTTATTATTTTTTTGAACTTTACTCCTCCTCAATATATCCGGTAGAGCTACTGTCATAGTTTCCTTAAAAAAGGTATTTGAAAACAATAATCAAATATACAAGTGTAATACTATAATAAAGTTTTTTCAATAAATTTTTCATATGAACAATAAAGATTACATTTTAAATTATACTCTATCTGTTTTTTAATAGATAACGCCGTTAACTTTTAAACACATGTTTGATTATTCGTCTTATTCAAAAATATATATGATATAAATCATGCTTTAAGTACTTTGAGTGATAAAACAACCCTCAGCAAAATAAATTATAAATACGTAATTTTTTTAATAAGACGAATGATCAAACGCGTGATAAAAAAAATTTAACGGTGGGATTCATAATTTGGAATTACAAAATAAATGTCTTTTGAGTAAGTGGTTGTACAAGCTAATAAATGAGAAAGGGGTTTGGCAGAACTTATTGAAAAGGAAATATCTTTATAACAAGTCTATAACCCAAGTGGACAAGAAACAAGGTGATTCCCTTTTTTGGTCAGGGCTTATGAAAGTCAAAAGTACTTTTTTAGATATAGGCTCTTGGATTGTGAATGATGGGGAACAAATAAGATTTTGGGAAGATAAATGGCTAGGTAACTTGGCTTTCAAGGATAAATTTCCATCTTTATATGCTATAGTCCGAAGTAAATCATCCACTATTGCCACTGTTATGGGATCTGTTCCGCTTAATGTTTCTTTTAGAAGAGCTTTAGTTGGTCAGAATCTTGTATATTGGCATGAATTGTGTGCTTCTATTGTACATATTCAATTAAATCCTTCTTCTGACTGTTTTAGATGGAATTATCATCAGAATGATAGGTTCTCAGTAAGGTCAATGTATCTAGCTTTAATTAACAACGGTTATATTGAGAGAAACAAATATACATGGAAATTTAAGATGCCGCTTAAGATTAAGATCTTTATGTGGTACTTGCTTAAGGGAGTTGTGTTAACCAAGGATAATTTGGCGAGACGGAATTGGAATGGTAGCTTAAGATGTTGCTTTTGTATGAAAAATGAAACTATTCAACATCTCTTCATAGATTGTCATTATGCAAAATTCATATGGAGAGCAGTTTAGTTTTTTTTGGTTTTAATCTTCCAACTAATATATCTCATATATTTGATGGGTGGCTTTTGGGGGTTGATAAGAAAAAGAGTAAACTGATACTGGTTAGAGCTTCTGCCATTTGTTGGGCTCTATGGTTGAGTAAAAATGATTTGGTTTTTAATAAATCACCATCTATTTCATATATGCAGGTAATTTTCAGGGCAATGCACTAGCTCCGGTTTTGGGCACAGCTACAAAGGTGTGAGGATGATGGGGAGTTCCTAAAGATTGCATGCCGCAAGTTGGAGTCAATGGTTATGCAATTATTTGCCAATTATGGATGGAGGTTCACAAATAGACTTCAATAAATGTGTTCTCCTTATTTTGACTTGGTTTCCTCTGTTTTTGTTTGGTGTGTCCTATTTAGCTGAACTACGCTCTTTTCTAGATTGCTATAATGTAATAATTGGCTGTAGCTCTTTTTGAGCAAAGGCCGGGATGTTAAATTCCATTATCTAAAAAAATCTATTAAAAACAGAGATGATATTAAGCACGAGTAACTTCACCTTACATTGACTGCACACGTCGATCCTAATTAAAATAACATTTTCTTTCTTACCAGAGTGAAGACTACCGTACCGGCTAAAATCAACTGAGTTTATTTAATCTCATATTTAAAAAATTAACCCCCTATCAAATTACAACTATAAAACACTCACCCCCTTAGCTTCCCAACCTCCTAATCATACGAGTTTGGTTGCCATTTGACACCACCACGTATAGGAATTGAAGTGATCGAGAAAAGCTGAGACCACGTCGTCGTCGTCGTGGTGGTTGTGCTTCTCCACCACCACCAATCCGAAAGATCCAAAGAATCAAATTAAGAGCTTAGCTAGCGATCTCGATCGATCGATCGAGCAGCCGCCATGGCCGCCACCAACTCATGATACGACCAGAATCGCCGCCGATCGACGACGACCAAGAAACGTAGTGCGGTGTGGTGTTTGATCTTGCTGCGGCCTCGCCGGCCGGCGGCGATGATGGTGATGGGCTACTTGCTGGCGCCCAAGAAGGGCGGGAGGAGGAGGAGGGGGAAGGATCAGCCGTCGGCGGCGGCGCATCACGGCGATAACGACGATGGACTCCGGGAGACGCTGCTGGAGCAGCAGCAGCAGCCGGCGTCGTCGTCGTCGCCGACGGCCGGTGGCGGCGGCGTGCCGAAGGGGTACTTCGCGGTGTACGTCGGCGAGGAGGCGCGGCGGTTCGTGGTGCCCACGGGGTACCTCCGCGAGCCGGCGTTCCGGGACCTCATGGAGCGCGCCGCCGACGAGTTCGGCTTCGCCCAGGCCGGCGGCCTCCGCGTGCCCTGCGGCGAGGACGACTTCGAGGATCTCCTCCGCCGCCTCCGCCGCAAGAACGGCGGCGCCGCCGCCGCCAAGGCTAAGAAAGCCATCAGCTAGCCACGCGTACGTATACGGTATATATACCGTATATATATATACACGTACGTATTTACACTAATTTTATGGATTATATAGTACCTAAAATACTGGATTGCTTCAGGTGCAAGTGCAAAATATAATGTAGAGACGAGAGAAAAAAAATTCAGAATTAGCATGAATATGCATGGGTAGCTAGCATAGTTGCATCATGCTGCAAGCAGATGCATGGCGTGTTCTTGGTGACTTTTGCTTTCAATCCATGGATTTCTGGAGAAGCAATTGGCTTAGACAGTAGCTTTGATGTGCATGCAAGTTAATCTATGGAGTAGTACATTTGACAGAGTGATTAATTAAGAGATTAATTAATTCTAGTTTCTTTCTTTGAGCCATATATATATAGTTCATGGTGGAGAGAGACAAATCAAATTAGCAGATGAAACAGCAAAGCTGTGAACTGCAAAAAAGCATCTGCAGGAGAGGAATTTCTGATGATGATTGGTTGATCTGAACTTGGAGGAATTTCGGTTCAGGTTATTGTACATAAACCCAAAAGATATAAATATCTATAGGGTTTTAGGAACTTGCGCTTTTGCGTTTTTCAAGTACTGAAATTCCGTGCTGAATATATTTATAACTGAAGAAATAATTTTGTTTTTATTGGTAGTTGGAGGCGATAGGAATATGGGATGATAGTATATCTATCTCACCCATCAATTGAACGTCATGGATCATGGATGAACAGATGCAGTACCCTCTATGTCCATTAAAACTGAATGGGTTTTTGCAATTGGCAGCATGCCTAGTTAATGTAAACTGGTCATTTTCAAAACAGAATTGATAAATCAGTCTTAACAATTTTGTAACTTTGGATCTGGATCTGTGCAATTCAAGAATGCCTGGCTGATCACAATGAGTGCAGCTCTGTGCTGCATTTTGAAATTCAGGGAATTTTTGTGTCTGTCAGTCAGACTGTCACTAACTTATCTCTGCAAAAATGTACTTATTTCCCAGAATTTTGAGGGTGCTGCCAATAGAACAAATCTCCAAATAGAGCAATCATTGTACTCCCCTTACCAGTTGGGGCCAGACAGTTTCGCCTGATGGATTTGTCTTGTCAATATTATTTAGAGAAACCTAATTCAGTTTCAGGAACTCGCCCAAGTTCAGAGTACCATTGAGATTGGTTGTTTTCAGCTGTAACTTCAGATTCTGAGATACCACCAAAATGATATTGATCTTATTCTTTCACTCAAAAAAATGTTCTTTTAATGCTATCACGGCTATGTTTCTACACTCTACAGGAGATGATATATTCGGAGATGATGCTAGTTTAATTAGTATTAGCTTAATTAAGATTCACCAAAATATGGAGAGAGTTTGGTCCCAATCCCATACATGTGTTCCTTTGAGGACCAGGTGTGATTGCCATGTGAGCATGTACTATAATCTTAAACATTATACAAACTCACATGATTAAGAATATGCTAGTACCATCACTAGTCAAGATTCTTCAGAATGGAGCTTGCAGTAAGTAAAAATGGCTTCTTTTTTTACTTCAAGTGAAGAGTAGGTCTTACCCTGCCTGTGCAGAAGGTTAAAACGGTAAAAAAAAAATCCCTTGCACTCTTGTGACCTACCATTGCTAATCTCTTTAGATACTTGTATTTTGGTCAGTAATTATCATTATTGTTATCTGCACTGAGAAAATACTGAAGTGTAAGCCATTTTCAGCTTTTTCAGTTGCTTATAGGCTTCAGTTTCTGAACCAAGAATGCAGCAAACAAAACAAACCAACATATACATATGAGAGTACTCTGTGACACAAATATATAAATTAGTAGCCTAAAGTTTGCATTAGATCATTGCAGTGAAGAATGAATCCTTCATCTCCTCCCCTTGTACAAACCATAAAATTTTACATATCTCATCATCAATTACTGTCTCTGACTCTCAGTCTGTTGCATTGCATCGCATTGCAGCCAACCTCTTCTCCTTTCTTCAGCAAAAAAAAAGTAGCCGCGAAGAAAGAAAGCGAGAAGGAACGAACGAACGCAAGAAAGGAGAGAGAGGAAAACACACACGCACACACAAATGGCGAAATGGTGTTGATCATCATCATCTGCACAAGATCTCGGTGTCGGAGGAGCAGGAGCACATGGCGGCGGCGTCGTCCTTGGCCTTGGCGTTGCCGTTGCCGGCGGCGACGAGGCGGAGGGTGGCCTCGAAGGCGGCGACGTCGCAGGGGATCCGGAGGGCGCCCTGGTGGCGGAAGCCGAACTCCTCCTCGGCGTCGCGGAGCAGCCGCTCGAACGCCCAGTGGCCGAGGTACTCCGTCGGGATCACGAACCGCCGCATCTCCTCGCCGACGTACACCGCGAACGACCCCTTGGGCACGCCGCTCCTCCCCCCCGGCGCCATGGTCGCCAGCTTCTTCCACCTCTTGAGCAGCTGCTGCAGCCTCACGATGTCCCTGATCTTGTTGCTCGCCCTGCCTACACCGCCACCCTGATGATCCTCCATTGCTGCTGATTGGAGTGAGGTGTTCTTGAGCAGCTGCAGGTTGGTTGGTTGAATGGTGGGAAGGAGAATGGAATGGAGGAGATGAGATGGTGGTGGTGAGGGTGAGAATTTATAGGAAGGAGGGGGTTTGCTGCCTCTGGCTGTGAGCCGCCGTCTCGTGAGCTCTCGACTCCTTTTTCGGTTAGTTTAACTGTACAAATCGATGCTTTTTTTTAATGGTAGAGATTAATGATTCTTAAACCCGGTTTGGGAGCTTAAAATTCTGAGAAGCAACTAATACATTTTTTGGATTCTACAACTGCTAAAATCTATATTGTTTGGAGGAGCTATTATAGTAGAAGATGCAATTGTCAGAAACTCCACCCTTAGTTTTTTTTGGGAAAATTGGAACCATGCCATTATAATTTTACAAAATTTAAGATATGTCATCATGACCCACAAGTCATTGATTTATGTGGGTCTTACATGTCATTGAGATACCTGTTTGGCAGGGCTCTCTACCTGTTACAGTACGGCAGATCTCCACAAAGATGAATCTCCTCTGCAGTACATACTTGTGTCACTGATATATGGGCCCAACCCGTGTGGGGTCCATATGTCAATCACTTGAAGTCATAGGGCATTACTGCAGAGGATCTGTTTCCAACTGCACAAATGAAAAGGTGTTTTTTTTTCTTTTACTCTTATAATTTTACTACTCCCTTCGTTCGCAAATTATAAGATTTCAATGTGTGGGAACCAAAGTATTTTCAGCCAATCAGATGATTAGGAGAGGAATTCAAGCAGTTTAAAATTTGACCAACCAGGTGATTGAAAATAAATCTTTTCCCTTAATATTAACATTTAGTAATCAACCGAAAAATGCTTATATTTAATAACGGAGGAAGTACATTGATACTACGGGATCACTATAACTGAAGCATACATGATGTGGGTCAAGGTGATTGGTGAAAACTGAAAGAGAAATGCTACCCCATCTGAACATATTGACAGATTTACTGCATTCAAATACTCAATTATCTTGGTACCTAGTACTTACTAATACTTCCTCCATCTTAAAATATAACTATATAAGAAATTTTGGATGGATGCGACATATTCTAGCACTAAGAATATGGATATATTCTCTATCTAGATTTATAGGACTAGATTGCATCCCTTTCATTCAAAATCTCTTATATTTTGTGACAGATTGAGTAGAATTTAAGCTGAATGTTCTATGGGTGTTGTCCTATCATGGTCAGTCAGTCAAGATTGTGGGTATGGCAATTGATTCTCTCAAGTACAAGATCACTCATTTGCTGGTTGTGATGTGGAAAATTCATGGGCTTTTGTTTACAGTTCAGAAAGAAATGCAGAGTTGGTGGTGGATAAAGAAAATGAATATTTTTGCCTTGGTTTCTGTGGTGTATGGGTGAAGGCAATTGCTCAAGAACTCCTATTATTGCTATACAACGATGATAGATTTTTTCTGTTCAATGAACCAGACAACTCCTGAACTTTTTCCTAGTGTGAAGAGAGCAGAGTGAAATTGCTGCAGATGTCACTTTTATAGTTTTACTGTATGGTATCAAGGACTAGCTAGATGCTTCTTTGCATTTGAACAAACAGCATATTTCCCCTGATCAAGCACCATTTCTCTACCCCTCAAAAAAAAAAAGCACCATTTCTCTGAAGTATCATTTTGAATTAGTAGAGCAGCATAAATGATAAATCTACAAATCTGTATGTACCTGATCAGCATCAATTTGGCTGTAAGTATGGAACTTAAAAGTAAGACCTGAATTCAGAGAATCATCTACCTTACGTGTATCCAACTAATGAAACGCCAAACGAACTGCTCAAGCAAACTGAAAAACATTGGGAACCAAAACAAAATGCTCAGTGGTTTTCAGTCAGTTAGCCTGCATATCACAAACAAAAACAAAGTTTGTTTTTGAGGCTCTCAACTTGCCATTTGGATTGCATCGGTAGATTCATATAATAAAAAGTTGGTGTACTTTTCTCTGACTAGTGCCTATGTTCTTACTTGATCTTGGTTCAAGGCTTCTAACTTTCTTTTTTCTCAGTTTCAAATTGTGTGCATGGGGAGAACATGGCAGGCCTGACTAGTGTGGAGGGAGTTGCATGCTTGCAAGCATGTGAGGAGGCTTCACATGGTATCATCAATAAAAATATGTCCTACTACTTTCTAAGCAAAAGAAAAGAACAATGGAAGCACTGCAAATTAAGATGCCTCTGATGCATAATAATATGATTAATTAGTTCTGATCATACCTGAACTTTTAAAGTTTCTTAACATGAATTGTGTTGAATAATTCAATAAAATGGGTTGATCAAGTGTGAAAATATTTAATGCAAGATTCCCTAATTGTATCAACCAGTTAGACTTCACATTCTTCTATGTATCGTTATAGTTTTCATGTGAATACAAAATAATTGTTTTCTGAAGGTTACAGGTACAATCCAAGTTGCTGAAAGATTCCTCCACCATGCTAATCATGAGCAGGAGGACCCAAATGAGCAATCGATCAGCACCTAAAACCCAATTAGTATATCTTGAACTACCATATGCTTGATTTTGTTCTCTAATCATTGTGCAAGAAGATGGCCGGATCATGGATTGAAAGGGACTAAGTCAGTATGTCCTGGTGCTCTAGGTAGAATATAAACTGCAATTGTAATAAGTTGCATGCACGTTTCAGTACAATTATGTAGAGTGTAGACATTGAATATCTCATTTTTGTACTTTGCTTTCTTTTGTATCCATAGTTTAAACCTGTTTGATTTAGATTATTGAGCAAATTATCCACTTTATCATATCGATAATTTAAATATTTTAAAAAATAAACTTAATAAATAGTTTGAAACAAGCTAGTGGTATAAATAATGCAATAGAAGATAGTTTTTCTAAAAAATATTTTTTATACACATGGAATAAATAATCCGTTCCAATAACTATTCAAGTAGCTGACATTGTAATGAATAAATTGGACTTCATTATGTTCTAGCCAGGTAGTGATTTAGTTCGTCAGAGTTCTCATGGTTCATCTTCTTCTGAAAAAAATGAACAATCTTCAGTTCTGAATTCTGATCAAGTCCTGCTCCCAAATAAAATTTGCAAACATCCATCATCAAGCGTCAACGGTTGGATTCAAACACATTGTAATTAATCTTGAGTTCTTGACTCGAGGTCAGACCTGGGAGTTAGGAAGAACCGAAATTTCAAAGGGCAGAGGCAACTGACGAAGTAGTGGCGATTAGTTATTTCTTCCCTTTCAGTTAAGGTGGCAAGAAGCTGAAGATTGTGTTGTACGTAGTTGGTCAAGCTCGATCTGCTCGCCGTGCTAGCTTAATCAAATTAATTACAGTTAACTACAATAGATTGGTACGGTTTGGATTGTTGTCGTACGATCAAAGAAAAGATTCCCTTTCTCGCAGCCCAACAATAATCAAGAACCGATGCAGATCACCACTACACTACTGGAGTGGAGTAATTTGTTAATATCTCTGAACACAAATCTGAAACCTTAATTAATTTTTAACCATGGATCATGCACAATATAATACACCAAATTTTCTTGTTGGAAGAAGCTACCTGCATGCGCATGTGAAGCGATCATGGAGGTTTGTAGCAACTAGCAAGGGCATCTGTGATCGATCATGTGAAGTCAAATTGCAACAAAATTTTGTCAGGTCACTTCTGCATTTCTGTTTTGGTATGAAGTACGGCACAGGACAGCAGCTTTGTCATGCTGAAGCAGCAGCAGCTAGCTAGCTATCTCTATATGATATACTCCTATCTCTCTGTATATATAATGCACTTGCAGTTAGGACCACCACACTCTACATCTGGCTCATCTTGAGAGATGAGCTAGCAAACCACTGTCCTGTAGCTGGAATTGCAGATAAGATAGATGTACTAGCATTTAGGACAGTAGTGCTATCTACAGAGTATCCATCTATCTATTCCTCTATCTCGGAATATAAACGGAAGCTAAGGAAGTATATATGGAATTAAATGAAAAATGGCTGTGATCGATTGATATGGGTATATATATAGCTGAAGAAACTAAATGAGATATTGTTGCGATTAGCTGAGATATGAGAGTAACAGAAATTGTATACTCCGGATAAATTTTAAATACTAAAAGTTATTACAATTTAGGACGACATATTAACCGCGCCGGCCGTTGATGTAATGCTGTAGCTTGTGAATGTAGCTAGCTAGTGCGGGATAACGGCAGCATCAACCATCAGGAATCGGTGGTCGAGCAGATCAAAGCAGCAGAGTAGGGACCAAACTGAACATTTTGGACAGGCATGCTTGCTTGCATGCATTCACAGTAGTTTCAGAGAACGGCAACCGAGGATATCTAACTGCAGATACGCTGCTGAACTTCTGCCCATCAGTACTCCTCCGTCCAATTTGAAGTGTAGTTGTGTATTTCTGTGTCCAACATTTAATCATTTGTTTTATTTAAAAATTTATAAAAAAGTTTTAAAAAACACACATAAAGTACTATTCATATTTTATCATCTAATAACAATAAAAATACTAATTATAAAAAAATTCAAATGAGGCGGACGATCAAATGGTAGACACAGAAACTCATAGCTGGACTTAAAATGGGACGGATGGAGTAGTAAATTACTAGTAACTTTTGCTCTTATCTTTTAAAGAAGCAAAGGTACTACATCCGTATCAAAATGAAAATGTATGATTGATAACCCTCATTCAATTATCTCTACCTACTTTTTTAATATCTGTGCCTGCTTTAAAAATATTTTACATTCTGGGATGGAGATAGTATATGTTTACACGATGGTGTAAATACAGAACATGCATGCTTGCAGAGTTGCAGATGATGCAGTTTCTTGTGTCCAACTCCAACGGGGAGGGATCAAATTGAGTTATATTAGCTGAAGGCATTATAAACTAATTGGACTGCAACGACCAAGAAATGCGCCGCGCATTGCATACATAAACTGCCATAACCGTTGCTGATCGTGCCCAGCTAACTAGGTAGGTTGGTTCAAGGTATAGTGGCCAGCCAATGTCGTTGCACATGCTG